CGTTCAAATGCAATCGGAGCCGCCGACGGCGTCGATGTCTTCGTTTTTCTCGTTCCATCAGGACGCTCCTGAGCCGACTCGGATTTTCGATGAGTTGCCCAAGGCCTCCATCATCTCCGTCTCTCGACCTGATGCCGGCGATATCAGTCCCATGCTTCTTTCTTACACAATCGAGTGCCAGTACAAGCAGGTGCAGTTTCTCCTTTCAGTTTCCTTGAATTTTTGTGTTGTTTCTAATTTATATTTCATTTTTTTACAGCTGAATTACTCCACCCTCTAGGTGTTCTGGTATTTTGAATTTGGTCTAGGAATGATCAATTAGATTTGTGCGCTTGTTTTTGTTTTCTCGCGAAGAACACAGAGGAAATCGGATAGGCCAATTATAGGATTATGTATATTTTATCGACGAGTTACCTCGAGTTTACGATGTAGTATAGTGGTGGGATTGAAGAATACGTATTCAATTAGATTTAGAGCTTTATTAGCTACTTTTAGATTATGATTAATTGGCTTATTAACTCTACCAAATCACTCGAGCACAAGTAAGAGTAGCCAAGTTGTTTGTTCTCCCTATGGCGTTATAAAATACTTTCCGCGCCCATATTCCCGTTGTAGTCTAGTGATTTTTGCCTCCTCATTTTCGTATCTTTTATCTTTTCAGTTTGTGTGTGGATGCTATTCTATATGAGAAGAAAGTTTAAATGGTGTAACTGTGTATTGTTTTCCTTGAATAGTTTAAATGGCGCATGCTGAAGAAAGCTTCCCATGTATTCTATTTGCATTTTGCATTAAAGAAACGTGCGTTCATCGAGGAAATTCATGAGAAGCAAGAACAGGTATGTATATGAAACTCCCAATTCTTGGCATCCTCGAGCACGTGAATTCTTGGGTGTTTAATGCCCTTATGCTTTTGAAATCTTAGATCAGTTATTGTTAATATGAATGTTTGGGGTTTTGATGTAGTCTTCATTGGAACATTATATTAAAGGTTAAAGAATGGCTTCAAAATCTAGGAATAGGAGATCACACAGCAGTGCCCCAAGATGAGGATGGACCAGACGATGAGGCCGATCTTCTGCATCATGAAGAAAGTTCTAAAAATAGGTATTTTCAGCTTTTCTCAAAGCTAATCTGGAAGAATTTGTTTATGTATCCTGTTCAGTTTTGCATACTTGCTATTATTCTTATGGTTGTATTACTTCTACACAGGGATGTTCCATCCAGTGCTGCCCTGCCTATTATTCGGCCTGCCTTAGGAAGGCAGCAGTCTATGTCTGATAGAGCTAAGAATGCAATGCAAGGCTATCTGAATCACTTCTTGAGTAACATGGATATTGTCAACTCTCGAGAGGTATAGGTGGTAATATGTTATTTTGAAGACATATGATGCATATCTTAATTTGTTATAAGTCTGAATTCTTTGTGTAGGCTCCTTTTGTAGTGTTCTTTTATGTTCTTTTTTAGCCCATTTGTTTTCTTTCATCTTCTTAATGAACGCTTCATTTTCTATGAATAAATTGTTGCATGAGTTTAGAACTGGTGACCATATACTTAATACAACAACATTTGGTAGTCAAGAAATTCACAGGACGCTTAACATTGCAGTTGTGGGTAGTTAGTCTTGAAATTTTCTTGGTATTACCTCTAATGATTTTTAAGGCCGTTTACTACTGCATCAGTGTTTTATGTTATCATAGGTGTTTTTCTTCACCGGCGATTTCTTCATTTTTTCTTGCTTTGTGAAAGAGGAAAGTGACATAACTAGCTTATCAACTGAATTTTTGATATCTTTTTCTTTCTCTCCCTTTCATGTGTTATGGGTTGCTTGATGAATCTTCAAATAGTTTAGTATTGTTAGACAAATATATGCTATGCATAGTTAGTACAACCAAATTTAGTTGTTGGGTACTTGGTATTTACAAGTTTCAAGTTACAAGCAAATTTGTAGTAACTTAGGTTATATTAATAAAATTAGTCAAAAGGTAGCTGAGAATCTCTAACTGAAATGAATCTCTTGTGGGGTACTTGGTACTTACATCCTGATTGGAACTTTAGGTAACTTCAAAATGTTTTTTTTTTAAATTACAATTAATGTACCGAGTTGACCTTTCTTGAGAAAAAAATATTTATTCTATGTTCTTCCTGAGCCGAAATAGTAATTTTAGAGTTCTAAAGTAATGAGTAGTTTATATCTTGATTCACTTTTACCTTCCACGCTATTCTGTAATAGAATCTTTTGAATCTAATTGAGGGTAATGCAAGGCTTGCAGTAAAGTTGACTACTTTTTTATTCTTTCAACCTCCATTGGGCTCACCTTTCTTGGGTGTTTTACTTCTTCCTAATGCATTTATGTATTTCTGAGAGTAGTTAAGCAAAAAAAAAAAAAAAAAAAAAAAAGCTTCAGAATTTATGGGAGTGCCTTGTTATGAACTGGATGCATTTTTAAACTAAATCATGGATTTACTTTTATATTCAATATGTCATAATGCATGTATGTTAATATAGAAAACACTCGATGCTATTTTAGTTGTTTGATAGTTGGCTTTTAAATTTTAATGCATTGGGTGTAACCATTTTCTCCCCTCATTTATGATCTATTTTTATTATTATAATTCCTTTTGAATTTATAAACTGTAGGTTTGCAGGTTTTTGGAGGTCTCTAAGTTATCATTTTCACCAGAATATGGCCCGAAGTTGAAAGAGGATTATATCATGGTGAAGCATCTACCTAAAATTGTAAAGGAAGACGACTCTAAAAAATGTTTTCTATGCCTATGGTTTGGTTGTTGTAATGACAATTGGCAAAAGGTAATGGGCTTTTTCCTTCCTAAGTTGGCTTTATGTCTGGGTTTCCGTTGTGTTTCAATTGATCAACCAAGTTGGATAGGTTGCATTTCATTCTCTTCTTTGCTTCCTCCTCTTGTGTGTGTTTTAAGTATGTCCTGTTTCAGTTATGTGCTGATCTCTTTCACCTATTGTGTTCTTTATACAATACTTATTTCTTATGTAGAGGAAACTATGAACATGGGAGTTTTCTGTTTCCCCTTGTTATGTTTCCTAAAAAAATGGGTAATAATCAATTGAAACACTCTTAACTCCAGTGCACGTTGCTCCGAATGATGTCATGAAAGTAAAACCTCTTTAAACCTATATCTGGGACTATTAGCTTCTCTTAGCTTCTATGAAAGGCAAGGCACCTAAATTTGTAGGCATGCTGGCAGGAAATGAATTTTTTTCTTCTTCTTTCTCAGAACTTGTTTAGGAGGTTCTTTTCCTTTTCTCCTTCCATGAATGTTAACACAATCTTCATTTTTGCTTAGTTTACTTATTCTGGGAATTGCTTAATTTACTTTTTAAATGCTTGTTTCCTCTTTAAAGTTATGAATTTATTTTATAAAGGTTTGACGAAGTGTACTTGGATCTTTTTTGGGTTTGCATTTAGGCCTTAAATATACAAGTCTATGTTGTTGATTGGATTTTTCAGGTGTGGGCTGTATTAAAACCTGGATTCTTGGCCTTGTTGGGAGATCCATTTGATACGCAACCAATGGATATAATAGTGTTTGATGTGCTACCTACTTCTGATGGCAATGGAGATGGAAGAGTATCTTTAGCTAAGGAAATTAAGGAGCGAAATCCATTAAGACATTCATTTAAGGTAATAAGATTTTGGGCATTGTACCTTGTATGATTTGAGTTTGTTTCTGGTTCTAAAGTTTGGTGTTGGTCATTGGCCTCCTATGTGGTTGCAAATAAGACAGATTTTAGTTTCAGTGGCGTTCATTTAGTTGTCATATATACTCGTTTATGATGGAATGGAATTCTGTACCAATAAGAATTTTCTCATGAAAAGTTTAAATCTGTGATGGGAAATGTTAGGTGACATGTGGAAATAGGAATATTAGGATAAGAGCAAAGAACGGATCCAAGGTTAAAGACTGGGTTGCAGCAATTAATGATGCTGGACTGAGGCCTCCTGAGGGTTGGTGTCATCCTCACCGTTTTGGTTCTTTTGCTCCTCCAAGGGGTTTGACTGAAGACGGTAGTAGAGCTCAGTGGTTCATTGATGGCCAAGCAGCTTTTGAAGCTATTGCCACTTCTATTGAACGTGCAAAATCTGAGGTATTCTTCATCCCTCCTCTAATCCTTCTCTTTAATTTAAGACAATTCATTGTTTATGGTTTTACAATTATAATTTTTGTGGGAAAGTATTGTTGGCTGATTGAGGAGTCTTTTGCAGATTTTTATTTGTGGCTGGTGGCTTTGCCCAGAATTGTATCTGCGGCGTCCTTTTATTGCCCACGCTTCATCTAGACTTGATTCTTTACTTGAAGCAAAAGCTAAGGAAGGGGTTCAGGTACGTTTTATGGAATTCTAATCTATTTTTATTTTATGAATTCATGAATATATTATAAGTTATAATATAAACTCATGAATTTCTCTTTAGCACCTTCAAATTTATGGCCTTCTAATTGTTTATTTTTATATGTGTAAGGGATAGGGATGCCGCCCTGTTGCCATGTTTGTTACAAGTTTTTAAACTACTCAATTAATCTTATAATAATTATAAAACCACCCAAATATGAAGTTTAATTTTACTTTATACATTTAGCAAATTTTGGTGTAATTTAACCTTTTCAATCTAGTGATAAATTTTATATATCATATTAGTTTTCCATGTAAATGAATAAATTTAATAAAACATTTCTATAAATGTCAAATTTAAATTATACATTTATCTGAAGTAATGTATAATCAAATAATGAAAGAAGTCTTGTTTTCTAAAAGTTGTTTGTTATCATAATATATTAAATTTTAATTTATTGCATTTTAAAATGAGTTTATAATATTAAATAGTAATATTTTTCTAAAAGGAATATTCCTTAAAATTTCAAAAGACTCAATTGTTACGGTGTAGATATAGGGAGAGATAGTTTGCTTAGAAGTAATTGTGGCCATGAGAGGAAGTGTTAAAAAGTACAGTGCTCTATGCTTCCAAAAGTCAATATAACGGGTTATCAAAAACTTGCCCACAAAGTCCCAACAGAATAGCTATCCATTGATCAAGAAGGCAGTAGGCATGGAATTGAGACATTTTTGTAATAGCTATTCCATTCTCTCTCTTAATCCACATTACCCTACGTTTCTTATGTATTATATCAATGCATTAATAATGTATTACACTTCATAATTCATATTAATTTAGTCCATTCTCTCTCTTATTCCACAGTATTAATCTGATCTTTGATGTGAAAAATTTGTGTAAGTTTTTTTTTACGTGACATGCAGATATACATTCTTCTCTATAAAGAGGTTGCCCTTGCTTTAAAAATTAACAGTGTTTATAGCAAGAGAAAACTTCTTGGTATCCATGAGAATGTGAGAGTACTACGATACCCTGACCACTTCTCCAGTGGCGTGTACTTATGGTATGTTCTCAGTCCCTTCATTTTTTTTAAGGGGAATAACAAAAGTTAATATTCATTCCCACACCTCTTGGTGTCTTGTACACAAGTTAAATACATGAACGACATCCATAGAAATAAGAGATAAAAGAGATAACTAAATCTTTCTGAATCCCGTCATGCTTAAAGCTTATCGTAAATTCACTTTGATTTCACATCTCAATATTTTCAAGTATCAATTATCAGTCTCTCGGCTTTGAGACGAGGAGCATATGATTAATCTATTACCCATTTTAGTCTTGTTTCTCTATTTTTTGATGCTAATCGAGTGGCATACGAGCAACCAATGAGACTCAGAAGCAAATAGTACTTACTGAAGGGGTTGGGTTATCAGCTGTTAGGATTCCTTACTGTTTTCTGCAGAATATAAGTGTTCTTGGCATTGTTACAAAACTCTGTTGCATTTAGCAGCATCTGCACAACTTCTCAATGGTATTATTTTGTGGACATAATATATGTTGTAGTTTCATCTAATATTAATGAGTGGTTAATGCAGGTCCCACCATGAAAAACTTGTTATTGTTGATTATCATATTTGCTTTATTGGAGGACTGGATTTATGCTTTGGTCGTTATGATACACCAGAACATAAAGTTGGTGATTGTCCTCCTTCAGTATGGCCTGGAAAGGACTACTATAATCCAAGGTATGTTTTACTGTCCCCTGTCGCAGGGACATTTTTTCTGCAAATTTATTGGCTAATTGTTATTAACTTTATTATTCTTGATTAGGGTACTTCTATCTGAATTAATCGCGAGGTTGATAGGTTTGGCTGACATTCTTGCCAAGTTTAGGGGTGAAAATTTATCTTTTCTGGGGTGGCCATGTTACTTAAGATATACCTAGTCTGATGCACTATATTGGTCATGGTGGCTTTATTGGGCTGAAATGATGATAGATAGTGATGATTATTTAAGAATTTCTCGTGCTGTTACAATTCTGCTATTTTTATGCCATGTAATGATTTATGAGCTATTGGAAGGCTTTTTTGTGTTAGTTCCCTGTGGGAGGGGTTTTACCCCTTTCCTTAGGTTGTCCTATTTTTGGCTTTAATGTACTCCATATTGGTTTCTTATAAAAAAAAATGCCAGGTAATGATTTATGCAAAATTTTGCTAATTTCACGTATTATTGACTCAGGGAATCTGAGCCAAATTCATGGGAAGATACCATGAAAGATGAGTTAGATCGTGGGAAGTATCCTCGCATGCCTTGGCATGATGTCCACTGCGCACTTTGGGGACCACCTTGTCGAGACATAGCCAGGCATTTTGTCCAACGCTGGAATTATGCTAAGGTCAGTGTTCGTTGATACTCTTGTCCAAATAGTTATGTCACTTTGTCCTAAATGAAAAATATGTATTGCTGCAGAGAAATAAAGCCCCATATGAGCGGGCGATTCCATTACTTATGCCTCAGCATCATATGGTCATTCCTCATTACTTGGGAAATTGCGGAGAGTTGGAAGCCGAAAAGAAGGAATTTGATAATTCTAAAGAAACCACAGTGCAGGAATCATTTTCTCGAGGATCATCTTTTCATGATATTCCACTGCTTTTGCCTCAAGAGGCTGATGGACAGGATGCTCAAAATGAAGGTTCAAAATTAAATGGAGTGGAGCCCATTGCCAATCCCCTTGATCAGCCAAGTAAGGTCAGCAGCGGTCTTTCTTTCTCTTTCAGGAAGATCAAAGTTGAACCCCTAGGATCAGATATGCCTATGAAAGGCTTTGTTGATGATCTTGACACTTTGGATTTCCATGGAAAGTTGACTGGAGATGGAAAAACGCATTATCGTGTCAAAAGTTCAGATTTCGAGTGGTGGGAAACACAAGATAGGGGACATCATGGTGGCTTCACGGATGAACCTGGACAAGTTGGTCCATGTGCTTCATGTCGTTGCCAGGTGAGTTGAACGTCAAGAGCATATTAAAGTCTTACAGCAGTGGCTAAAAAAGTTGCATGATTGTCTGGGGTTTTGATTTTGTTCAGTGAACTGGCATTTTTGCAGTTTTAAATATAATTTTCTTTTTTCTTTTGCTTTTCTAATATCCATTTAGTATTCAAGCTCATATTGCAATTGGGATTATCTAAACTCCCTTTTCGTTTATATAGATTTTATTTATATTTAAATTTGAAACTCACCTTAGTTTACTGGTTCAGCAAATCATTGAAGTCCTCCCACACCGAATTAGAGGACTTAAGGCTCTTTAAAGTCATATTTGCATATAGTGGGATGTATAAGCTAATTTGTCGTCAATTACTGGTCAGTTGTGATGGTATTATATTGTTTTATTGCTAATGACTGTTCTTTTTCAGGTCATCAGAAGTGTCAGTCAGTGGTCTGCTGGGACAAGCCAAACCGAAGAGAGCATTCACATTGCATATTGCTCTCTTATTGAGAAAGCAGAACATTTTATCTATATTGAGGTATGTGATTTTTTAATCGTAGCAGTATTATTGCATCAATACCTTCTCTTTTTTATGTTCTTTGTTCTTCTTCTTATTTTTTTTCAATGGATATGTTGATGTTTGATTCCTTGTAGTCGATCCATTATAATCCCAGAAATGGTATAGACTTCTGTTCTGTATCTTAGGGAATATTGCAACTAAAACTAACTGGTATTCTACACTTTCTCATGGTATTGATTCTTGGTTTTATTTTTTCCCAGAATCAATTTTTTATATCGGGCCTCTCAGGAGATGATTTGATACGGAATCGTGTTTTAGAAGCATTATATTGCCGTGTAATGAGAGCCTACCGTGAAAAGAAGACATTTAGGGTTATTATTGTGATACCACTCTTACCTGGATTTCAGGTTGTAGTTCTTGGAAATTCGACACTCGTCCTTTTCTGGCTTATTATTTGAGTATACATATTTTTTCTCCATTCTGAATCTGCAGTTTGACAGGGGGGTCTTGACGACAGTGGTGCAGCATCGGTTAGAGCAATAATGCACTGGCAGTATCGAACTATATGCAGAGGACAGAATTCAATATTGCATAATCTTTATGATCATCTTGGCTCAAAAGTTCATGATTATATATCGTTCTATGGCCTTAGAGCTTATGGTAGACTCTTTGATGGTGGTCCTGTGGCTTCAAGTCAGGTATTTTATTCATTATTGCTTGGTTTAATGTGTTTTATGGTTCTTGATCGAATAGATAGTGGCTTTCATCTGTTTCCTACAATCTAAGATATCCCCAATGATAGGCATAGAGCTGATAGATTTATTGCCTTTTGTGACATGCTAACATCTTTATATGTTGTGAATTTAGGTGTACGTGCATAGTAAAATTATGATTATTGACGACTGTATTGCTTTGATTGGATCGGCTAACATTAACGACAGGAGTTTACTTGGTTCTAGGGATTCCGAGGTATCACTTCTCTTCTTTTGGAAAGCTATGGATCTTTCTGGTTCCACTTTTCCATTGACAAAATATTTCAGGGCTGATATAATTCGTCATGTACTTGAAAATTTAACAATTAATAACCCGGAAGCTTTTTGCTTCAATTACTCAATTGAGGATAAACATTAAAAATCTGAGCTTTTTGACTTTGATGGGTTCTGCTTGGTGGAAATCTAAAAATCTGAGGTCTCAATACTCTCTATCTCTAAAAAGCTTTGATCCTCTTTCAGATTGCTATCGTTATCGAAGATAAAGAACTTATCAATTCATCTATGGGAGGACAACCATGGAAAGCGGGAAAGTTTTGTTGGAGTCTGCGTCTCTCTCTTTGGTCTGAACATCTCGGTCTTCGTCCCGGACAGGTTAGTGGCTGGCTAATGAACCACCAGTTCTTAGGAAGCAGTATTTCCACTGATGAAAAAGTTTCACGTTTTATCTGGGGCGGAGTTGAAAGATTTTATATGCTATAATTTTATATCATTATGACGTGATTTTTTTCCCCAGATTAATCAAATAATTGACCCAGTTGCTGATTCAACCTACAAGGACACATGGATGGCAACTGCTAAGGTGAGAAAGTAATGTATATGTTTACTGAGGATGAAACAGAATGATTATCAAACGGAGCTAATGGAATTATGTATACTAATACACACTGAATCTCAACTATCAAATTTTTTTAATAATTTTAAATAAGGAAAATAAAATGACAAGATAAATGGGTGAATCTTTACCAAAGAATAGTCAGAACTCAAAGAATAGATATTTGCATTCACCTGCCACAGATATGTTACCAGCCATGTTAGCATATTAGATTTCTGTCATAGATTTGTTTTCTCTACTCTCTTCTGAATCTTATCAGAGCACTGACAACAAACTTGGTGATCTTTCAAACAGACAAACACGACGATATACCAAGATGTTTTTTCTTGCATACCAAACGACCTCATAAATTTCAGGTATGATTAAAACTCTACTCGGTTGAATCCCGGTTACCACTTCACTTGTCGATATACTGATTTGTACGCGTATATTTAAATACAGAGCTGGACTGAGACAAAGCGTTTTGTACTGGAAAGAGAGACTGGGGCACACCACAATAGATTTAGGAATAGCACCTGATAAGCTTGAGTTTTATAAGAATGGAGAAATTGAAAGGATTGATCCAACAGAGAGATTAAATGCAGTGAAGGGGCATCTTGTTTCCTTCCCATTGGAATTCCTGAGCAAAGAAGATTTAAGACCTGTGTTCAATGAGAGTGAATACTATGCATCTCAAGTTTTTCATTGAATCCAATCTGTTCTTGTTAGGTCATCTTGATTAATTTATGGTTAAATCTTGCATTACACTTTAATTTTTTCTATCAAAAAAATAAGAGGAGCGATAGAGAAAGAGAGAGGCTCATTATAGCAGCCTTCAGAAAGGTACCTTCATCAAAATTAGGACTTTTTGTAATAGTTATTCAATTTATACAAGACTCTTGTCCTAATTTGGGCATTTAATGTCGTTTTCATCTCTCTCTCCCTCTTCATTCACATGTGGATTCAGCTAAATCTACTTGCTTTCCTTAGTTGAAATTATTTTCTAAATATCAATACACTCCAATGCCTTACAAGTCACAAACTACCTTAAGTGAGCATTGATGAAGTGTCACGAGATGAGAGGTATTCTTTGGACGATAAGAACCTCGAATCTTTGAACATGTTTAATAAATTTTTGAAGTTTATAAATGGATCTAGTTAACAAGTGTCTAACATATCAATAAATTTTAATTTAATTTTGTGTTTAAAAGATCAGACCTATTGAGTACTGTTCAAAATTCAGAGATATATTACCTATTAAAAGATTTTGGATTAAAAAATACATAATTATTATTTGTTTAAATGACTAGACACAAACTTGAAACTTCGTGTGACGTAATATTAAAAATTTAGAGTCTTTGTTAAACTTTATTTTAAATTTCAAAGACTTATTAGATATAACAAGTATGCAACTAAAAGATAAATTAGTAATTTTTTAAAATTAGAATAAATCTGTAAATAGAAAAATCTTTTTCAACTTAACATTTGTGGCTGGGCCAGCTCAGGCCAACTGGCTCGTCGGTAGCCACCAATTCTTGGATCTGTCCATTTGACTTCCATATTCAATAAAGATGACCCACACACATTCGTCACAAGTCACATCCTTAATCAATTTAATATTATTTTAAGATAATAGAATTTTCTACACTCCATATTCATAAATATAATCATTTAACTTTATTCTTATTTTTTATTTTCCTTTTTATACTACATATAAAAATGGAGACTCGAATTCACAGGAGTACTTTAACTAATTGAGATATGTTCAAATTGACTTTATTTTCCCTTTTTAATTATACTATACAAATCCCATTTTCATTCAGACGATTTTTTTAGTTCGCAAACAATATCTTAAAAATATATATCCTATTTTAGTTTATTAAGGTTCTTTTATTAAGTATGATTATAGTTTTAAAAATATTTATAAATAACAGACTACAAAGGATAACATAGTATATTTTATTCTTATTGAGAAAAAAATTAGACGAAATTATTTCACGATTTTTCTATATTCCATTTTAAGGAAACATTATTGTAAAATGCTGTGGACAATTCATTTGATTTTTATGAATGAATTCCTCAATAAATTTCATTATTAAATGGTGGTATTAATAAACAACAAAAAGAATTGAAAAGGAATTCAAATAATTAAATGATGAAAAAGACAAGCAAATTGTATGGTAAACAAACCTTGTTCAACAACCCCAATCCAAGATATTTACAATAATAATGTATCTCGTCTTAGGCTTCAATTGAAACTCCTCGCAATTCTCATCCACACAAATAGTATATTTAATTTCCCCTACATATATATATATATATATATATATATATCTCCTTTTATATGTAATTTATTACCGACCTTCAACTTATTTTATATTAAATAGTTTACGATAATTTGGTTGAATTTGCTTCCAAGTCTATGCAATGACAAATTGATGCGTCCATTTGTTTAGGTTAGACTGCATGTTTAATTATTGTTATTAGTATTTTTGTGTAATTTCTACTATTTAAATTTTTTTAGTTAAAAATATTATTTTCATATCTTTACTTTCAATTTTGGCTCATTTCGATTGTCGTTGTACTTTCAGCATGTACATTATAGTATTTATGCTGTCATTTACTTCTGTCTATCTTAGTTCATGTACTTTCATATTGTTCGTTCTGGTCCTCATACTTTTAAAAAGTGATCGTTTTAGTGTCCCTTCATTCTATTTACTTTTGTTATCAAAATTTCAACACAACATTACATTTAAATATGTTTTTGTTGAAAGCTAATCATAACTTTATTAAATCGTTTTCGTTGGGTATAGAATGTGTTAAAATTTTGCGAATAAAGACTAAAAGTCGTTACATTTTAAAAGTAAAAATATAGAGACCAAAAATGAGAGTGGTATGGATCAAAACGAAACAAATTTAAATTACGATAACTAATAATATTTTAAATCTGTTAGAAATAACTACTATTTATTTTGGTAACACTTGAATGAATTTATTTAAAATAAAATAGAAAAAACTTAGGTGCTTGATAATAATCGATCTTTATTGTCCACCAATGAAAGTTGACCGCGTGTTATTTGAATCCAAAAGGAAATATAATTGTTCTTTTGCTTATCGATATATTATTTGTGAAAGGTTTTAGATGTGTGCTTATCAATTTTTTCTTTTTTGACGATATTAAGAAAGCTGTATTATGTATATTTCATGGGTTGTCGTGAAATTTCCTTTTCACTACTTTTTAAATTCTTCAATTAAAAAGTAAAGCAAAATTGTCATTTAATTTACAATGATTTCCAATAATTGTAAATTAAATGACATATATTTTCATACGAACTGAAAATAAAAATTCAAAGACTAACATAAAATTTTAAAAATTAATGAAGAAAAAAAAAACAATGAATATTCAAACACCAAAATTGCATTCCGAAGAGCTCAGCTGAGCTAACTACTCTTCAATTTTTCTTTTTCTTTTCAATACCAGAATATAATAATATACAGCGATCAGTGGGCAGTGACGTAATTTCAAAATGCAACCGTATTTTACGAATTGTCCAAAATACCCTTGGCTTCTGGGGTTACTGTAATGGCATTCTCGTACTTTCACATAAGAGAACAATTGCGCCTTCGCAGCCCGCGGTAAACGAAATTATACATTTACGTACGAACGCCAGTGTTTACAAGTGGGGGAGGAGATATAGATGGAGAATCAGCGAACGCAAGGCTGCGAGTTTCAGAGTGATCCGTCGCGCTTGCCGGAAACTGTGGGATTCCGGCCGGCGACGATCACTTTCAGGCGGTTGCGCCAGACTTCGGGCATATAAAATTACTTGCCGTGCACTTGAACAATTCCGGCGGCACACCAGATTTAATTTGGTACGCTTAATAATTAGTTTTTTGTTATTCGATGCGATTTTCAATTTTTTGCTTCCTTTTCAATTTTTGGCCTGTGTTTGTGAGACGGCTTGAAAAAGAGGAAAAATAGTTGAAAATTTTTGGCTCAGCTAATTAGTATTGATTCGTATGGATGACAAATTTTCTGTTTCCTCTCCGGATTTTGTTTTTCCCCTTTTTTGAGCTCCAAACATGTGATAGTTAAGAACTAGGGATATTTTGATGATGATTTAATCAAAATTACTGCGTAATTAACCGTATTCGCAACTTCAATTGTAAAATAACTCTCACATTTCAGAATAAAAGCAGTGAAAACATGATTTAATAGTTGTTATTTTCATCTAATTAGGTTGTTTCATCTTTTTTTGTGATGGTGATTTCTGAATCGTTTACTAATTTCGTTAGTGTGGTGCTGAGGGCTAATTGAGAGGGGATGGTGAGGAATATTTTGATGAAGAAAAAGAATAATAGTGACGAAGACGGCGGGAAAGAAGCGGCCGGAGAAATGGCGAAAGAGGCAAAGAAGAACAAATCGATGATTTGTTTGTCGGGAAGTGTTAAAACAAGCAAGTTTGATGATATGTCTTCTGTTTGCTCAAAGAGAGGAAATAAAGGAACTAATCAGGATTCCCTCGTTGTTTGGGAGGTATATCTCTTTCTTTTTATGACCCAAAAAGTTTGATTTATTTTTAATTTTCAGTTTTTTTAAAATTATTTTTTGCTAGTTTTCATCTTTCTTAAAAATGCATTTTAAAAATAAAAATAAAGATTTGAAAAATACTTTTTCTTTTTTTAGTTTTCAAATTTTTATTTATATTTTGAAAATATTTTAAAAAGTACTTAGCCAAAATGAAAAAAAAAATACAAGTAGTATTTACAAATTTAATTTTAGAAAATAGTAAATTAAAAACAAAATGATTATCATTTTTTTTATTAAATTATAAATTTAGAATTTTCAGAGTTCTATCTAATAATAAATTTATGATCCAATAGAAACTTTTTAGATACAAAATTTTAAATTAAAAAATTTAGTAGACATTTAATAATAATGTATATGAATATTTTTTTCAAGAATTTATGCAAAAGTTGACCGACTAAAGCTTATAATTTACTCTATTTTTTTTTCTTTTTCACATTGTTCGTCTGAATAAGTATTACCAAATCTTTTAGATTTTTTTTTTGACTCTTTTAGTAATTTTTTTTTCTTTTAAGAAAAAATCCCTTACTTTTCTTATCCAGAGTAAAATTCATGTTTCTGCCTTAAGAAAAAGAAAAATAAAAAGGA